GTTGATTTTTTTAAATATCTTACATTTATATCATGAACAGAATGTCGGAAAATTAAGTGTTCTCTTAGGTGAACCTGGAGTGTTTATAATTTTTAATAAAAAACTAGAAAAATGGAGAGTGCGACGCTCATTCATTTTAAGACATTTAATTTCTTTATACAAATGAGATATATGATCAAACCTACGCAGACCATAGATAAATCTGAGGTACGCATTTTGTACCTTCTGAATCCGACCCCTACTTGCCTCATCTAAGCAAAACCCATAGACAAAATCGCAATAATTGAAATTGGAAAGAATTAGGGATTCACACAATTTTTTTTTGTGATCTGTTTAGTATGTGTCTGTTATTATACAAAACTTTTAGCGAACAAAATGATTTTTGCATAAGATTTTTCAGGTGATCTTTAAATCTAAGCTGAGAATCTAAAACTATACCGAGATTTCCAACAAAATTCAATTTTAAATTATTAGCCATTATATTGAGATTAGCTTTCAAAAACTCAGTCTTAGATTTGTTACCAAAAATCATTTCATGCAATTTTTCCGGATTGAGTTTTAAGTTGTGACCTAATGATTGTTCAAGGTGTGAATGTCCTCATTTATACAATTTTCGTAATATTTGTAATCCTCAATATAAAAAAAACAATAAACCTGGGTGTCATCCGCGAAGGCCTGAATTTTACAAAACTTTAAAGACGTAAGGATATCAGATGTATAAATTAAAAATAACAAGGGGCCCAATACTGATCCCTGAGGAACTCCCGATAGGATCTCCGCTTTGTCTGAGAATGTGTCATTTGATAGAATCGATTGATACCTTCCTGCGAAATATAATTTTAAAAGCAAACATGCTTCCTTATTAAAGCCATAGTACTGAAGTTTAGCTACCAACAATTCATGATTAATCGTATCAAAAGCTTTTGAAAAGTCTAGAAGTACCAAAACTGAACTCATCTTTTTATCATTTGCTCTTAATATGTCTTCGAGTATGTTTGTTATAGATATGGTTCTGAGATTCGTTAGGTTTTATTAAGTATCAGTGATATATGGTAATTCGAGTTAGACACGTGTTACCCAATTTGCTGAAACAACGTGTTTGTGAAAAAATACTGGATCTGGAATCAAACATATGGGAATCAACAGAACGACTTGCAATGTATTACAACAATTTCATAATTAATGACTGTCTTAGGTTAAGACTTGTTGTGTGAAAAAAATTCATTGTCTTCATGGAAGATATGATTTTAAGTCTAAATGTGGAATATATTTTTTTTCTTGGAGTTAATAGCAATAACTCGAAAACTGTTCGAAAGAAGTGGTACAAACCTTATATTAAAACAAACGTTCCCAAGAAAAGCTATTTAATGATGTAGAAATGTACAGGGTCTTCCACTTGAAATTTATAAGAAAAGGTACATTTTGCGTTTTGAGATACACCGTATAAATAGAAAGATATGTTAGCATATCTTCAAAAATGGCGGAGGTGCGAGCTGTCAAAGTTGGGCATATATGAAACCAACTTGGTCATCAAGATTAGACATTTTAGCATTATGTTGAAGGTACACACGATGAACCTTCACCAAAATACCAAAATCTGTAATCTTGAGGTCGAAGTTTACTTTCATATTTGTCCATCTGCCAATTCTGACTTCAGATTAGTGTTCGACTGGACGAATTCATGGAAAAGATACAGTGGCAAACTTCACTTATTTTAGTGGATTTGTGTTATGATTTTTATTGTTTTTATGGGTTTTCCCTGAAATTTGTTCATCGACCGCTAATTCTAACTTCATATATTCTTTGGACCTGTGTAATTTGTCATAACTTTTTTCGCTGTGATAGATAACTTGTAAATAAAGAAGCAAAATTTAACATCTTATTTGAATCACGTATATAATCTGACCAAAAAGTACCTGGAAGTTTCCACACCAATATGATTCTGTCATTATTGTCATTGTCCATGGTTGCAAGTAACAAACCACGGATACGGAAAATGAGGTTCATACATAACATTTACGACGCGGAAGCAAGGAGGAGGCATGAAATGCTCACAACCATGGCGAATTAATATAGCTCGCTGATTAAATTTGTGGTATTTTGGATTGTTGGCTTTCTTTGAACTAAAAACTGAAATTAATGCATTCGATGACCATTGGCCAGAACAGCAATTTATTAAGCGTAGAAAAACTTTGTATTAATGTAAAATCTGAAACGTATCCTTTGGTTAGTCAGTCCGACGTATGTGGTTTATTTAGCGGACAAAAAAAAACATGAAGATTTACAAAAACAAATGAGAATCGTGAGCATGTCCGCAACAAAAGGACAGGTACAGAAAAATAAGAATTGGTAATCCGAGCGACGTGCGTTTCTGCTTATTGGCTTCATCGGCTACATAAAAGAAATAATGGATCAATTCAAGAAATGAGACTCAAAGATGAAAAGCTTTTTAACTATTATACTCATTAAACTCTGGCGGAAATACGAAAAGGTGGTGGCGCCACTTCAAAGCAAGCGAAAATGAAGTAAGCAAACTTGCGCATGCGTCAACCCCAGGTTTGACAGCATTGACAAAAAATTCGCAAGAAACTGGAATATGTTTAAAATTGTCGCCTCCTAGAATTCAAATTTTGTGAATCGCAAGGACATTGTCACGTCACTAAATTGACCAATAGGAGAATTATTTGTTTTATTCGCAATCGCGATTCACGTTTCTATCAACTAGGCTTAGCGCGGTTTGAATAATGTCCGGCTTTGACAAACATTTAATTTGTTTTTCTTTGCGATTAAGAAAAACAAATCAAACAATATAAAATTGGGTTCTTTATACTGTGCCAAATAAAAATAAAACAATATAAGTAACTATTGCCATTTGTTTTAAATGTGATATATATTACAATAAAAAATTAATAACAATAATAATGATTCATAGAACTTCAATTATCATGCTTCTCAGATAGCCTAGTAAATTACGACTTTCTCCAGTTTTTGGCGTTTTCAAAAACTTTGAAAAGCATTACGGGAAATCACCGCCCCGCCACACACAGAACATTTTCGCAGCGCCTCACATCTAGGCGCTGATGAGAGTCGTGAGCTTGTGCGCCACATAGGGACAGGTGCAGAAAAATTAAAGAATAAATTACAACTACAGGCCTATAGCTCTGTTTTCTGTTATAAGTAAGGTGATGCAGAGGTGCATAAATCGTGAGCTTCTGGACTAACTCGAGCGTCACAGCTTGATTTGCGACAGGCAGTATGGTTTGCGGCACCAGCGATCCACAGGCGACCTCCAAGCTTACGTCACGCATTTGAGGAGTAAACTCATCCAGACTTATGGTGAGACTCATGCTTGAAATCACGAAAGCGTTCGATCAGCTGTGGCAAGCTGCCCTCTTAAGCAAACTTCCATCCCATGGCCTCCCAGAAAAGCTTTGCAGATGGATGGCTGACTTTATCTCTGGCCGTCGTAATTAACGAGTTCTCCTCTTCAACCCACAACGTCAACGTGGGTGTTCACCAGGGATCGGTCTTGGCTCCGACAGTGTTCCTCTTACATATCAACGACCTCCTTTAATGCACGATCAACCCAATCCACAGCTTCGCTGATGACAGCACTGTACATGCAGGAATTCAGGGTGACAAGCCGATCTCTGCCGATGAGCTGGAAAAAATAAGACTAGCGACGACTTCCTCTCTGACGAGAGACCTGAAGGTTATCACTGCTTGAGGAAGCAGCAATCTTTTACAGTTTAATGCTTCCAAACCACAGTACTTTACTTTGGCGAACAAAAAGCGTGCTAGCGCTCATCCGGTTTCAAGGGATGGCCGTGTTTTGCCAAAGAGCCATTCATTTCGGCTGGTCGGAGTCCAGATCGCTGAGGACCTGATCTGGTACGAACACATCTCGTCAATAGCGGCAGCTGCGGGAAAAAAAACGAAGCCAATTTGTTTAGGACTAAGAAGTACTTTTCTCCGCATGACCTTCTCACTCTATACAAGGCCTAGCCTCGAGTATTGCTCACACGTTTAGGGTGCTGCCGCCCCTACTACATTATTTATGCTCGATGCTGTCCAGAGGAGGGCGGTCCTAGTGATCGATAACTCTTCTCTAACAGATATCAACGGGCTTTGCTCCTCAGGCTCTCTTCCATGACGCTGCCGCGTGATGTGCTTGCCAGACCGACCCGCCTGACTTCGGCCTCCCATCCTGACTGTGTCGATTTTCGTACATTCAGAACTGGCTGATACGACCGCTCCTTTGTCCCGAGGGTGTCGAGATTGTGGAACAATCTACAAGAGGAAGCTTTTCCCAGTTCTACTAACTTTAGGCAGTTCAAAAATCGTATTAACAAAATTTCTTTGGGATCATCATAGCATCTGCGGTGACCCGACATTTAGGCTTCTGCCTGCGCGGCTGCTTCGGTATAAAAAAACGTGTATTTGAGACAAGAGATCAATGGAATTATCATCAACCCTCATTATTAGGCACCTATGAACAGCCGTTTCCTTCCACCTATATGATTTAAAAAAAATCGACATAATGTCACTTTTCAAGATATGTAATACCCCTGCGAGCCTCATGTTCTGACTCTGGAATCAGTCGTCTTCCTACAGAACCTATTTGATCCACGATATAATTATTTTATATTGGTGCACGATGTACTGAGAATGTGCTGAAAATTGATGCGCGTGAAATCTACTCTGTTGACAAATATTAGCGATAGTGATTTTACTGCCCCGTAGGTATGTTTACTGTGGTTGAAGCTATGTATACAAATCGAACAACAATGTCAACAATAAAACAAATGAAAGCACAGCCGGTAGCACGTCTGATGGCATCAGTACCGACAATGTCCAGCTTGAGATCCATTAGGTAACTTTCTTTTTCCGATAGCATTCGTAACACATACAGATCGTAGACCTTGAACCACACCTTGATTGACGGACACGCTTGCCGGTAAATGAACTTGAAATCTCTCGATTTCATTTTCTGTGATAGGGCAGACGCAGATACCCATATCCGTGATGATCCTCCTCGTAAGGGAATATGGTGGGGTGCTCTTAGGTTTATACTTCGGAACCCTGAATAGATTTTTGAGCCTTTCAGTGAAAAACGTTTAAAATACTGTATATTTTTCTACTACACACTTGTTAGTGTTGAGTAGACAAAACCATTTTATGTAGACATTCCATCGATGTGCAAATTTGATTTTCGAATAAATGCTTGCCAATAACTTTCTCCAAGGCAACTATAGAAAGAGATGAGATGGAAAACGTATAAATCCCACAATAAAGTGTTGATTTATCTAAATATGAATCTGAGAGCAGCATTTACCGTATATCGAAAGTGAAGAGAGATAACAGTGCTTAGCTTAAAGTGAGTGGCCGAGTTCGTTATTTTTAACGAGGTTCTGAATTAAAGAGGATGATCCAGGCGAATTGAAATGCAAAAGTGAAAGCCCATACGGTAGATAGTTACTTTCATAAGTCTATATAACTTAGAGGTCCTTCGCTATCAATATCTACATAATCGTGTATCGGGACGATCACTTTTTTGCATACTGGAGAAGATCGTTCTGAATTCTGCATGGAAGAAATCACAGCACCTAGGTCTGTCATAATCGCTACGGATTCGGTTTCAGCTACCCAAAATCATGCAATAATAGTTAAAGCTACATTTATTTGAACCGCAGCGGCATTACGTATCTTGGAAAGTGACATGATGTTAGTTTTTTTTGGCATTATATATGTTTTGTGACATTATGTAGGTATTTTTACAAGATGTCAACTTAGAACTAGCTGACTTGATGTGCATTCGTACTGTAGCTGAACGTGTCGCCTGTCCATCATCATGCTTCAGCTATCAATGTTTAGTTCTGATGTGATTCCATTGCATTTTTGTATCAAATACACTTACTTGAGATGTATGCTCCATCCTGGAAATTACATATGTAAATTTGCTGAATTTAAAAAATAAGAGAGATAAAAACGAACATTGCAACAGATGAGAAATTAGGCTACGGGCAGGAATATTTATGAAACGTAAAAAAGGTTCTTACATTTTAAATTATTTTTTGTTTCATGTCAAATTTCTTTTGTGATATCAAGTAGAAAATACAAATCAGCGCCTAGATGTGAAAATGTTTTGTGTGATGCATCATTCCTAATATTTCTGTGACGTGGCTCAATTACACACAACGCGGGCGCGGTGGTGACTTCCCGTAATGCTTTTCAATGTTTTTGACAGCTAACTGTTTAATTTTATAATTTTTTGCAGATCCTTCTCGCAATACTCTGTTCGTCTCTATTCCAAGAAGTGATAGCGGTCGTCAACAATCCAACGAAAAAGAATGATGAGGAGTCCGTTTTGAAAGTAGAATCAAGCAAATCAAACACTAGCATCGAAATCGATTCCAAAGTATCCAGTGCCAATGAAAAGTCCAATAACAGGAGAGAAGCCCCAGCTGACACATATGGACCACCAGTTGGCAGTTCGTACTTTCCAACTGGTGGAAGCCATCTGAATCTTCCAGTTCCAGTATATGGAGTACCGAATGGTCCTACGAATAACCTTGTTTATCCTGCCGCTCCTCCTGTGGCAGTACCACTTCCGACCTATGGTGCACCAAGTCCAGTGTATGGACTGCCAGTTAGTAACCATTTTCCTACAAGTGGGAACTATCTGTCTTCATTCAGTTTTGGAGGGCTCAAAACCCAAAGTCACTATAAGGGGTCTCCGGGGAAACTCAGATTCCAGTATGGCCCACCTGGCAAGCCATATTTTGGGAAACATAGTACTTATGTGCCTTACAAATCCAGCAAATTCGGCAAACCATCAGCCAACACATATGCATTTACATCGGGGTTCAAGGATACGTACAAGCCTAGCAACCTGAACTTTAATTTCAACAGTGGCAATGGTTTCATGACCCAGGCTAATGTTGGCAGTTTTGGAGGTCTTAGTGCTCAATATGGACCTCCTGTGTATAATGTGCAATCCCATATAGTGAATGTTCCGACATCTGACATATCGCACAGTCACTTAGGTGTTTCTGCAGAATATGGGGTACCTGAGATCCCCACACCGGTGTATGGGATACCTGAGGTCCACAAACCTGTGTATGGACCTCCTTCGATTTCTCCACGACCTAGACCTCCCCATCCAGGTATTCCGGCCCCTCCAACACCTCCAGATATAAAATACGATGGTTGGCAACCAATTCTTGGTTTGATTTCAAAACCACCTCAAAATTCGTACCTCCCACCGCAAGGCCAAGATACAGCAAACCACCACATCCCTCAGGGAGATATCGGCCACCAACATATACCTCACGAAGATCTAAGCAACCAACGTATACCTCATGATGGATTAGGGGCTTTAGCCTTGGATAAGTTCCACAAATCCGGAGTTAAAGACTCTTATGGAGCTCCACTGAATACCGTGACGGGGTCAGGTGGCGTTGTTATGGCAACAGGGAATGATTATGCGAAGGAAAGGCCTCATGATGAGGAGGATAACCATGGCGGTGGTAATAACGATTTGAATATTGAGGGCCTCGTGTCATCGTTGGGGCTTGGCCAGGACATACAAGCTGTGAAGAGTATTGGATACGAGCTTTTCCCAGGAAGTACAGGTGAGATTCATTTTTTTTTAATACCTCACTGTAGAGAACATACAAGCCGACGTCCAGTCCGGAAACAAATACTCGTATAACGAAGCGGTCCGCAATGCCAAAGACCAGCACGATATATAAGTTAGGCACATGGTAATGTCGCAGCGCAATGGCAGTCGGTCTTTCAGGACGCTGGCTAAGCATATTGAAAGGATCTTCTCAAAGGGTGGCCCTCTACCACTTACATGCCGGGATGGAACGATTGCAACGTCCCCCCCGTTCCCTACACTATGCGGAAAGTATCATTCAGGCATTCAGGCAATATTGTTGCTCACGACGCAAGATTAATATCATAGCTGCTCAATCCAGGATTCTGGGTCCAGGGCCATCGGTGTCAGGATATCTATGATAAAAGAGCACACCCACCCACTTTTCAGAAACATGTGGGATGATACGTCTAGGTGTCTATTCGCTAGAGAATTCCTCAGCTATCCAAGAGATGAAATGGCGAAATCCTGTCTGTCCACGTCCAGACAACAGCTTTGGTACTGGCGTTGCGACTGAACAGTCCGCTAAAAAAGTTTCTCTACTGGAAGATGAGGCAACTAAGCACGAACTTACGATTGAATAGCTGTCCTATCAATACAAAAACTTACTATGGGGGAGCGTTGGCTTTCTAATCTCAAGGGAATTTTCGTATTTTGGTATTAAAGACATTCGTTTATTTTCAGTGATAACTGGACAGGGATCTGCAGACACATATAGCGTCCCACCACCGAACTCCTACTCACCCCAAGGGCACTACGCTGCTGGGAACTCATACCATGGAGGAACTGGACCGTCCCCTCATTTCTTCCATGGACTATCAGTCTCTCACAATGGAGCAGGTTTGGTACCACCAAGCGGTCTCTACGGCGTACCCCCGGGAGGCAGATACGGAACACCTCTCATGTTCCATGGTCCAAAACACCACCCAAGAATTCCTCAGAAACATACGTCGCTGACCAGTTTTGTGCCTCCTGCAATAAGCATTGCCAAGCCTTTCAAAGAATACGGACCACCAAGTACTAACAGTCTACCTCCGATACATTCATTCCAAACAGTGAATAACGCGCTTCCGTCTTCAGATTTCAATTTACACATTGGTGATGCAGTAGCTTCAACTTTGACAAGCTACAATGCCCCATCAGGTGTTCTAGATAATTCATATGCCCCATCACAACATACTGACCTTGTGGGATTAGACTTCTCTCTACCAGGAGCTACTGTCGATTTGACCAATGCTTATGACTCCCTAACTGCATCATCCAATCTTAATTCTGTCTCAGATTGTAACCACAAACATTACATCTATAATGAAGATTCAGTCCCCGCATTTTCAAAGAACTCAGTGGAAGCTATAGAACCGTTGGATTCATCAATTAGTTACAATGTTACAGAATCTGACGAGGATCAAAATGGAGCCCAAAGTCAACAGCAGAACACGGAGGTCAGAATCAATTTGTTGGAGCAAGAACATAGTGATAACGCTTATGCAAAGTCTGTAGCTGAGAATCTCTTGCCTAACAGTGAATTGCTAAAATCGCAACCAATAGATATCACCAACCTCCCTGTGAATAGAACTAGTACATCTTACACTGTTCAGATCCAATCATCGGATGGTAAGACACCACATGGAGACGTTTTAAACGAAGAATTGCTGCAATCCATCTTAGCAGCTATTGAGCAACCTTCCAAAGGGAAACCAATAGTGCAGGTGCAACAAAGTGTCGAGAAACAGAATATTGTTACGAACGGAAGCTTGTCCTCTGTTGTAGGACAGTTAAATGATGCCGAGATCAGACGTACGACACAACTTGCCAAAGATGCTATCGAAAAGACGTCGGATAACTTTGGTGAAGGTTCGAATGAATTTGTGATAATGCAGTCCACTGATACAGCTGATAAGAAAAGCGATGGCCGAAGTGAAGATAGCAAAGATAATGGAGGAAGACAGCTATTATTTCTAGAAGATAATGGAATAGCGTTATATTTCAAGAAAGATACGAAAACGAAGACACCCAAAGATTGAAGATAAGAATTTTTGATAAACATGTGATTTTCTCGATATTTATTTCACTAAGTAACGTAGTTGCCTTGTCCGTGATCTTCTGAAATGACTCATATGTCATATTTGTCTCGGAGTCATTCATTTTGATATCTTCTATTTTTTTGGCGTGGAGATTCATAAGTGTTGTACTGAAAATAAACCAAAGCTCCCTGTTGTATGTTGTATTAGATTTTCTGCCTTCGTCCATTTAATCATATATTTCTTCATTATTTAGTTGCAGTATCATATAGAGAATCATTTAAGTGACGCCATTATTACAAAATATGTGCCAATCTTCTGTATCATTATTTTTGTTTTTGAACAATAACTCGGTTAATGTGACTTGCTTAGAAAAGAATGAATTAGTACTTACATTTATTTATAACTAATTTATTTTATAGATATTTGCCAATAAAATATTATAAGAAAGATCAGGTGAAAGAATATTGAACCCCAAACCAGCCCTCATTTTCTACGATTTAATAAAATAATACAGATTTCTTACCAAAAAAGCGCTAGAACCGATAATGAACTTGAAAAATAAAGACTATGTCGTAGTTTATGTAGATTTACGCCTCATACAAATAATACGCTTACACTTAGGCAGCCGGGCACACGAGGGACGCAGATTTGGGTTGCCTACTTATGTATGCACATCCCTTATTCCGCTCTCCATGTAGTGGTTTTTGTATACCAGAGCGTGCACTATGTATAAGTTGTAGATGTATGTAGATGAACAGATGCCCTCAAAAAAACCTGTATTGTGCATTTGTACATAATACAAACATATACTTTTTTCATAGAGGACGCGGCATAACGCAAATACGCTGGATCCATCGCTGATCTGGTGACGACCCTGATTTTCAGTCCTACCGATTTTCTCCTTGAATCTACCGAATTTCAACAACACTGTCTAACGATTTAGTCTTTTTCGGTTCGGCAACACAGCGTTTATGTCTACATATCTCGTAGGTAGCCGAATTTTAAAATCAACCTATTGATAAAAAGGACAGATAAGGCCATATCCAATCAAGAAAAAATTGATGCAATACTTTATTTTTATCGTTTATTTTTCAATAGGTAATCATGTTTTCGATAAATCAACTAAAAAACTCACCAACAAAAACTAACACTAATCACATAATAGATATAACTCTACCAAATTCTACTTCCTCATAAACTATGTGTATTTCACATTTAAATCGATTGTCTATGATTCGTTGGATGATTATAGAAAATTAACGTTACAGTCACATACTCGTACGTCCCAGAATATGACTGTATGTAATCCCGATTTTCATACTTAACAAAAACTAGTGTAACAAGTTTTTACAGAAGGCCCATAGGTGGTTTTCAAAAAAACTTTGTTCCATACCAATATATTCTGGGACACTCTGTAGGAAACGCGACATTCTTGTGCATTATCAACTCCCGACGCTAAAAGGGGTGCTAAGTTTAATATACAGAGTGTAAACGTTATGGTAGTCATTATTTAAATAGGTGATAGAGGGGGTAAAAGAAGCAAAAAGTTTCATATAACATGGGGGTCAAAACGCCTATTACCCATCTCATTAATGACTACCATATCGTTTACACCCTGTGTTTTTGTCTGTCTGTGGCACCATAGATTCCCAATGGATGGACCAATTTGAGTGTGTTTTTTTTAAATCAAAAGTCCTGTCTAGCAAGATCGTACTTGGCTATGTTTGATAAAAATCAGTTCGGCTTTTCAAAATGTATGGGGGTGGACGAGGGGGTGGACAGCTCACAGCGAATATGCCTGAAAGACGTGCGTGAAAGCAGGGCTCTCAGTCAATCCATCTAAGACTGAGCTAGTCCTCCAAGAGACGGAAGATAGAAGATTTCAATCCACTGACCCTCAAGAAGTTAAATACCTCGGCTTGGTGCTGGATTGTAAGTCAGCAAGACTTGGAGATTAAGGCCAAAGGTCTTGCATTGGCTTTACACGACGCACAGTGGTTCGGAGAGCACCATTTCCGCGAAAAAAGTATCCAGATTTCTTATTTTGTTACTGGTAAACCGATTTTTATGAGCCATACCTCATTAGAAAGCTAAAGAAATTCTCTTTAAAAAAATGTATCAAAAATTGACAAATATCAAAAATTGAAGATAGCAGCACTATACAGGGCGTCCCTAAAAGGTCTTTACAAAATTTTAGCACATATTCCTAAGTTCGAAATAAGCCGATTTGAAGTAACTTACCTTGGTCCAGAATTGCTCCGATTCCGAGATGGCTGTTAAAGTTAGAAAATAAAAATCATTTTTTTTATAAATCAGAAACATTTCGTAACGTATTACTTCAAAAATTGATATCCTGTTAAAATAGGTATGGTGAGCAGTTTTCGAGAAATTATCAAATTTCTGCATCAATGGAGGTTGTAGGGACCCTAAATCAAAATGCTTAGAACTTTACAAAAACTGAGTATGTGGTTCCTATAATATAGATGTGAATCAAATTTAGTAAAAATAGCCGTACATTAATGTTTTTGTGGTGTGCAAAATATAACTTAAGGGTTTTTAACAGTTGAACTCTGTTTTTGGTTCTGTTCAAATACTACTCGTTGAATAAGTCTATATTTTTCATTTTGATTGGTTTCTGTCGCGCACTAAACTCTAAAAATTAGTCTAAAGAAGTTGCAAATATTTGCAGCTGGTTATTTCTTTATGTGTTGAGTTGTCTCAAACGCACATATTCAACTTGTTTTTAAAACATGGAAATACCTGCAGTTTTTTATCGGAACCCATTAGTGTCAAGCTTCTGAAAAAAATGCACGGATTTACTGAAAAATATGCCACGACAGCGCAACGCGACTGTCAACATTCCTTTCAAATTCAATTGTTTTTCCAAACGTCATCTATATTGAACTTAATAGGTCAGAGCCTTCTGTAATTACAGTTACGTCATAGGGCACGTATAAATTTTAACAAAATTTACGATGAAAATCGAAAAAAAATATTTTTTTGTTTTAAAGTTAAATAAATAAGAAATGAAATAATGTAAGAAAAAAGAAAATGTTGCAAATAGGTAATTTTGGGCTTAAAAAAATATTTTAGCAGAAAAAATAAAGAGAAATATACTATTTATACTTGGTTACTATTGTCGCGGAAATAGTTGCTCTCTGAACCACTGTGCGACGGTGGTAAGAGTTGGATACAGTACGGACGCGTGGTAGGTCTGGTGGTCATGCACCGAAAAGACCTCGGTGAGCCGCAAGCTCGCCATGATTCAAAGAATGGCGGCGCTGGGGATATCTGACGTGATTTGGACAACTCCTTGACGTTATCCTGGGACTTCTGCGACTGGACGCCTGTATAAAGCGGGAGGTCATGCCGGAATACATACGGGGGTTGTTTCAAAAATGAGGTTTCCAACGCTGTATTTTTGCCGCGCGTGATGCTACGTGAAATCCGCTACCTCACCACCGATCCCAACAAGAAGTGCCTATTTGAGATACTCAGTACCAGCACGACAGCCATGCATAATGTTCCCCTTCATCGCCGAAACCGCCATATACGAAATTTTTGTGTTCATCCGATTTTCGCACGCAAAAACGTTACCACCCATAAATAATTTATCGCCACTGAAGTGGGAAAAGCATTCAACATGTGCTCAAATGGTGAAGAGAGCGCTCGGACATCCACGATGGACAAAGGAGCAGGAGGCCGTCAATCTCCGAAAAATTTGTGCCGAAGATTGAGCAAAAATATTGCTCAAAGATCGGCGAATCACGATCCGTGAACAGGCGGTAGAAATTCCTGAGGCTTTTGGAAGCTTCCAAAATCGTCGTAGTGGAAAACTCACTAAAGCGTAAGACTGCACCACAACAATGCGCATCCTCATGTCTCATAACAAACGAGCGATTTGGCTGGAAAGTCATTGCCCATCCCTCCTACAACCCTAACATAGCGTGTACGAAATTGAAGGAGCACCTAGGTGGTCAACGGTTCGAGACCGACGAGGAGTTGCAAGAAGCAGTCACCAAGTTTTTAAACGGGCTGGCAGCGGCACGAGAGTGCAAAAGTGGATTTCACTTCTAAAAGAACACCTAGAAAAAAATGGCGACTGTGGAGAAAAATAGCTTAAAGATCAACGTTCTAATAGTGCATTCGTTTTTTCAAATAAAAAATTCCTTGAGCTTGAAAAGAATGTGGGGACCCTATTTTTGAAACAACCCTCGCATGTTGGTAAAAGTGGTAAGGTCCAATTACACCATAAGATCAGACAGAATACTCACTCATCATCCCTTCGAGGGAAGACTGGCTGATTTGAGTGCGGTTCTTTAATAGAAATTAATGTTTATCGAGAAGGTTTTTAGCTATGCAGCCTTGCCAATAAAAATTATCAACAGAAGATACAACTAAGAGTCTGAGTTTTTTCAAATAATGAAAGTAATTCAAAGCTTATAGTACACGTATGCGATATGTTTAATTTTTACGTAAGTTTTGTAATATGCAATTATGCAGAGATAATTAGTATAGATCATGAAGAAGCAAAACTTGCAATTTATAGATTTTCCAAGCGAATTAGTTTTTATAATGTCTACAATATTGCTAAAAGGTTATTCCAGAAAATCAGATGTCTCGTAAAAAAATGCTTACGAGCAATGATAATTTTCATGGTTCTATCCAAGAGTTTTTCGCTGGTTCAGAATACAAATTTCATAAAGCCATAATTCGCTTGGACTACAAAACAAAACGTAAATAAAAAATGCCAGAGGCTATGACAGTTGTGACATCCTAACAAATTCTCCTTTATAAGTTGCAATTTTGTTTCTGATACACGTGACCTTAATAGAATAGATTCTTCATTTTTTGAGAACTATTCGTAATTTCTCATGCGCCAGAAAGACATTGGATGTCTTTCTTTCGTTTGGAAACAGATTATACAGGAAGACGATATACATTTTTGCAATTATTCAGGTGTCAAGAATTGCAGCTTATAACATACCAGTGCCCTTACGCATCCCTTTTTAATAAACTTCTAATACTACATATCCAGAATTTTTTTAATCTTATGTTGAAAATAAGACCATTGCAAAACAGTTCGAGGTGCAGTCAAACGAAAGCAAAGCAACTAAACACTATCCAAAGTGTGTACAATTTCGAAATAAGACAGAGCAGAGCGCCATCTATCGCTAGAATGACCACTGCGAAACAATGAATCGGTTGGGACTGTACACATCTCAGGCGAATTGAAGGTCCAGTCACCACGTAACCGCTAGATGGCTAGACTGGAATAAAAAAATCACGGACAGTTGATAAGGTAAATACTAATACA